GGAGAAAACTTGTTATAATAAACAAACTTTTCACCTTTGGAGTAAACCAAGTCCAGCCTTGGAATACTTCAGTAAAAACGTATTAGGACGAAATCAGTTTGTCAGTTTTTAACTTGATTTCTTCCTGATGACAAAGTTTGTATTTTCTGTACTCCTTTATAAATCAGAGTCACTTTTCCTGGTTGTGTAAAAAGCTGTGAGTACTAGCGTTTTAAACCATGTCTGCCTTGAAGCTAATAGTTCGTTACTTGTGTGAGTACCAAATTCACGTGACCCCTTTAATGAGAACAACTAGACTAAAAGACCGAAGAAGTTCCACTTTAAATAGCAAGGATTTTATATGTTGGCTTTCACTCAGTGCAAAAATAACACTTGTTTAAATAGTTTGTGTGCTTTAACGGAGTATTGTCAATGAGATGTTGCCATAAAGAGACAACTGCAATTTAGTTAAAATAGACTTGATAAGTGGTTGTATTTTTGCAGAACTACTGGGAGTCTTACTAGCGAGCAATAACATTTTGTGTAAAACCAGAAGGGGTCGATTTTTAAAAGAAGTTTCATTTGGAATAAGTTTTGCATTTCATAAAGACAAAGCACATACCTGTTTTTATATCTTAACACAGGATGACAGTGATGTAGAGTGGAAGTTCGCTCGTTCTAAACTTTGGTTATCGTATTTTGATGATGGAAAAACATTACCTCCACCGTTCAGTCTGGTACCAAGCCCCAAATCTTTTTTCTATTTCATCATGAGGATCATTAACTTTTCTAAGTGCAGGAGGAGACGGCTACAGAAGGACATTGAAATGGGAATGGGCAATTCCAAATCTAGGGTAGGTACCGAAGTCTTTTCATTGCAGTGGAGAACCGTGTGTCCATTCCAGTATTCCGCTTTTCTTTAAGTGTTAGAGTATAATCTGTGCATCTGATGATAGTACAGTAATTAGTCAAGCATTTTTATTCATAGATCTATATTTCAGACTGCCTAAACGTACTGCATAAAACCAAAAAATAGCTGTAAGTTTTCTTAGGACAACAAGGTCCAATGACTGGAAAAACAGAATTAAAACAAAAATAACCGAGTACCCAAAGATGCAAATAATTCCTACAAAGAATGACCTAAATATTGAATAAAGATGCTTTCAGCCTCCATTAAAAAGATTTTTTTAGTTGAGGGTAAAAAAAAAAGTGGGGGGGAATAAGGAGAGAAGACTTTTCCTTTCACTAGGACAGGAAAAGGATCAAGTGTGGTCAGTATGATATTCAAGAGCTAATTTCTCAACAGAAGGCAACAGGAAAGAGGGGGAATGGGTGATAATAATCTTCAGCACTTCCATGACATTTTAAATTTGGGTATCTAAATGTTCTTTATAAATATTAATAGATGCAGTGTCACAACACCTTTGTGAGGATTAGATAACAACTCCCCCTGTTTTACGGATGGTAAACTGGGGCACAGACAAGTTAAAGAGGATACATGTGGCTTTTATAAGTTAAGCTCAAGGTCCTCTGTATTACAAAAACTGAAAGGAATACCTTGAAAACAATTTTTATTTGTTTTACTGTAAATTATCAGAAATGTCAAGTCTAGTCATCTTCTGAAAGATCTTTCTGGAGCCTAGCACTTCTGAGCTGTTGGTGGTACTGAATCTTCAGCAAAGAAAATATTCTCTCCAGTTTTCTGTAGGCAGTGAAAGTGGGTAGATGTTTATAAAAGTGTTGATTTAAATCGGTTTAGCTAGGAGCACTTTTTTGGTACTAGCTGCTCATCTCTTGCTCTCTAGCGCTCAGAGTGCCTGAACTTCATTAGTTCAGTCACTGAACTGAAGATGTGTTTAAAAAACCAAAACAAAATAAAGAAACCTCAACACCCCAAGATACACTTTTATAACAAAACATTCAGTAGTGCTTACATATCACACAGCAGTACTTACTATCGTACTTCCAATGTAAGTCGCTAAAGAACTGAAATCCTGTCTGAGTCCCTGCTGGGACAGGTCAGGTGGACCTTGAACTACAAACCAAGTTATTTGTGTCTGGGAAAGGCAGCCCACAGCCTCCTCTGTGTCAGGCTGGGCTGGCACGCTGTGTATTACACTGTTCAAAGGTAAATCGTGTCCCACTCCCTAATAAAAATGGTGGCTGAACTGGTGTCTCATTGTCCACAAGAAGGTGGGCAACCTGGAGTGGGTAAAAATAGCCCGCTCGTGGCCCAGCTGAAGTGACAGGCTGGATGTGGTGTAGGCACAAACCCCATGACAGTTATGGAAAGCATCAGACTTACTATATAGATGCAGGCTGACTTTGGTTTGCCCCCCTGCCCCACCAGAGAGGTCAGCTGTCGTTGAGTCAGTGACTTTTAACTGGCCACACAGAAAATTAGTGACAGATGCAAATTAGAGGGTTGAACTTTCTTCTATGGATACACTTTTTTTACTTCATCCTCACCAGCATATCTGAGAGAAGAGCTGGATCCCTGGTTCGGTAGTAACAAACCTTCTGCATTGGTCACAAAGCCATTTTGTCCAAGGTGGATTTTTTTCCCCTTCTGTTTCTAATCCACTGCTACAAAAATCTGAAATTATTTGGGACCTGATGGCTTTGTGATCCTTGAATAATTGAACAATGACCATTTTTCTAAATGTATTACTATTCCTGAATATGGTGCTTTGGAAAAACACTTCCAACTAAGTAGAAATGTTTTGAGCACGTATTTGTAGGTGAAAGCGTGCTTAAGGATGCAGATCCACAACAACTCTTTGTTAAAGCCAGTTTAGAGAATCTTTCCTTGCTCTGGCCACTCATCCCTGCCTCTGAGTCATAATTCATTATTTCCTCAGCTGTTTGCTTTGAAGCTGTGCTGTGGATGGCTAAAATTATCAGTGTTTAAAAAGAAAAACGAAAACAAGAAGTAAGTCAAGGCAATCTCAGTTGTTTTGGAAATAATATTATGATACAGTGACTATGGAGATATCCCCAAGATGTCTCCAAGAAAAAAGAATGGCGCTTAATTCTAACTGTGAATTCCATAGTATATTTCAATTTTGTCTTATTTCTTCCTAGTTAAACCTTTTCACTCAGTCGAACTCCAGAGTTTTTGAGTCACACAGTTTTAACAGCATTCTCAATCAGCCGACACGCTATCAGGTAAGTGCATACAGTGGTCACTGTTTTAAGTAATAGAACTGTGTGAAGGGACTAGCAGAATTTTGTTTCAAGTACATTTTGCCTTTACCAGATAAAGAAATCCTCCTGTAGAAATCAAACTCCAGGATGCTACTGGAAAAAAAAAAAAAAAGGCAGTTATTGTTCAAGCCCCATTATTTGAAGCATTTAAAAACTAGCCCATACAAAACTTAGATTTTTTTATTTTTAAATTTTTTTCCTTTGAAAAAAACTTCTCAGTTGGGAAAGTGGGAGAAGCAAACATCTGAAACCAGTTTCTGGGGGAGGGATGTGAAAGCACTGAGCTGACTGGGTTAGCATTACTTTCCCTTCCTTTCTTGTCATGATCTGAGATGTGACATTCAACATTCCTGCAGATGAGAATGCTCCTTTCTGGTAAGAGGAGTCTGTCAGTTATTACCTCCCTGTCTTCTTTCCAGCCCAGAAATAAAAGAGTAAATAGAGGCTTTTGTTCCCCTAGTGAAAATGTTGAAGGTATGGAATCCACCTCTCCAAATTCAGTTAGACGAGCTACCTTAGATGAGGTATGGTAACAGTGTAAGACTGTTAGTACAGACAAGGAGCCCTGGCAGTTACAGTATAAAAATACAGATACAATCTCAATGAATCCTTTACAGCTGACATTGCACTGTCATACTGTAAAATCTCAAATTTTCTTTCTTTCTTTTTAAAAGGCAAGTATTTGTCTCTTACTATTGCACTTCCTTTCACATGTGAACTGAGTTAACAGAGTAGACCTATTCTGAAGCTACTTAAAGACCAAATTAGGTGTGTTTAGACATATTTTCCTATTGTCCTGTTCCCTACAAAAAGTTGCGGTGCTCTGTAAATAAGAGGTAATTGGATGAGAAAGGTGCTTTATTGTAACGGTGAGTCACAGCATGCCACCAAAAAAGCCCATATGAGGCAACTGCTTGATCTGGGGCCGTTCATTCTTTCACTTATACAGATGTGAGGGAGATAGGTAAGAAAGAAAAGTGAATAGTCTTTAATTATATATACACTCACCTGATTATATAACTCTCTTCATCTGGCAGCAAATAATGAAAAGATTGATAAAACGCTATGTTCTGAAAGCACAAGTGGACAAGGAAAATGATGAAGTAAATGAAGGTAAGAAGGAGACTGCATTTGCAATATTCAGAGAAGTTTTGTCATGTTGTATTAAGAACCGGTATTACAGGGGTGCATGGAGGTTTTGGGTAAAAAAAGGGTTTATTTCTACTTCAAATGCACTAAACTTAGATACATAGTAGTGGAAGTATGCCTGTGACAACAAAAACGGACAAGTAGGACCAAAGAAGTAGGACTGAGAAATATTACGGGCTGCGATTTACAGGTGGAAAACAAGAGCACAGACATGATGCACAGTTACAGAGGAAATTCATGAGGAAGCTGCTAACTGTATTCACACTTCCAGAGGCCTAGTCAGAGCTGCAGAACATCTTTGTTTCGTTCAGCTGAACACACATTTTAGCACTTTACACCATCAGCTACTTGTATTCCCTTCCTTCGTAAAGCTGCGTGGAATATTCCTCCGTGAAGTTGCACGTCATTAAACAAAGAGTTAGCTGCATGGTGAGAAAAGTGACAGCTGTAGCCACTATTTTAGTGTGTGACCAGAGGTCTTTTGAGAAGCAACGGATCTGAGCTTGGGGTCTGATGACAGTGCGGAACTTCCCTGGTAGCAGCGAGGAGGTGCATGCTACAGGCACACACCCCGACTCCCCATAGGGATGAGACTGAGACGAATGCTGTCCTCCTTCCTCCAGCCTTCCAGGAATGAAACACAGGCCTACAGGCCAAAAAAGAAGCTCTTCAGCTCTGGGCAGGCCCCCAAACAGAATAGGGGTGTGTGTAACGTGGGGCACGTGTACTCTGCACTCTAGCTAAAAGATTATCAGGCAACAGATTGATGTCCCTTCTAGGGCTGGCTCTGCTCTTGGAAATGTAACCACCCCAGCCATGGTTTTGTTCACCGTAGGCTGGAGGTTGTAACCATCAGGGTTCAGCCAGTAAGAAGTCTGCGTGACCACCACCAGAAAAACATACCTGCTTAGCATTAGTACTCCTGGTCTGGGCTAGTTGAGTAGGTTTTGGGGCACCGAGGACGCTTGCCCAAGCCACTCTGCTGTCAGCTTTGTTCATCACTGCGCACCAGCGGAGAGCACCACTTGGATCACAGCAGCTTTTGCTGGCATGGAAGCACCAGGCGGCTGTGTGCGTATCTGGTGCGAGGGACCTGAACAGGCTGCTCTCTCAGCTTGGGGTAGCGTAGCTTTTATTTGGCTTGTTGGTTACGCTCGGCTTACCTGTAACTCTCTGCAGCGAGAAGCAGGGAGCAGAAAAGAAGGTATAAATTAAATCCTGCTCTGTGCCTTCAAAAGGCAGCATTGCGCACTGACTGTTATCCTGACTCTTCCCCATCCTATGTGACTGTACAGAGCTGAGCTCGTGAGGGACAAAAGCAGTGAAGCTCCTAAAATCTTCCTCTCGGTGTGCCCCTTGGGCCTTTCTCCTGCATTCCCATTGCTTTCCTCCTGTTTCTGGGGGGAAATCATCTACCCAGCGACCGATGGGAAGCCTGTTCTCTCACCAGCAGCGCCAGGGGCGTACAAGTCTTTCTAGTTCCCTGATGCCTGTTTGGTATTGGCATATATGTGTCTAGATAACCAAGACAGTGCAGAACAGTCATGGTTCGTGATCGTCGTGGTTCTTGCTTTAGCACAAATTTTCATAGAGGAAAGTCCACTTTGAGCAAGTCAGCTGACCCCTGAACCTCAGTCTTCAGCTGCGTAGCGAAGGTGTGGTGCCCATCTCGTTGGTACCCGAAGTATAGATCCTGCCTTTGAAGATACAGGTTTTGAAGTCTGCTAGGCTCTCAATAGAAAACTTTTGCACTCTTAAATATTGCAGCTATTTTTAACATAAGCCTATGGATTTTTCCCTGTTTTGCATCACTAGAGAATTTAGGTATTCCTTCACGGTCTTTTATTTCATATGTGACAGATCGTTGCCTGGGGTGGATACTGCATGAGAACTCACATACCTGACACTTGCTGAAAGAATAGTGTTTGGGAATTTTAAAAAGCTTCTGCTCTTGAAATTAATATCCTGTAATGGAAAACATGCTTTTGCTTGTTATGGGCCTGGCTTTGATTTTTTTTTCATTTAAATATGTTTTTTTTTGTACTCGTGTCAAATTGTAACATAATTTTAAATTGGTTGACTTTTTCTAATTCAAAGGATATTGGTAAGGAAGAGGAGAGAGACTCAGAAGCTGTGAGTTTTACTGCCAGCTCTGCCACACTTTTCTTGTGTGATCTGGGCACATCACTTCAGAACAAAATCTCTTTGCCTTTTCTCTCTGAAAGCGGGATACTAATATTTACCAGCTGTTCAGCAGTGTTGCCGTGATTAATTCATTAACCTGTGTAAAGTGCTTTTTGAATCTTTGATGTTCTGTATACGCGTGGAGCACAACATCAGAGTTCAATGGACTATTAAAACACCTTTGGCCCTCTTTAGGGCTGGAGACACACTCACATCTCATTGAGAACGAAGAGTAAAGCCTCCTGCCCCCTCTCCCCCTGTACCTGCTCTCATGAACAGTTTGAGAAAACGACCTGAAGTCTGCACTGATGTGAATTAACAGAACAGTATTGAGTGGATGTTCAACTCTGCTAACGAGTATTTCTTTTAATACAGGTGAATTGAAGGAAATCAAACAGGATATCTCCAGTCTTCGCTACGAACTTTTGGAGGATAAGTCCCAAGCAACAGAAGAGTTAGCAATTCTAATTCATAAACTCAGTGAGAAACTAAATCCTAATATGTTGAGATGTGAATGATTCAACAAAGGAACCATGGCTTTGACTACAGCACAACTATTTATTGGCAATAATACTTCAGTATCTTATACTTGAAAAATGTATTGTAGATTTTTAGCACTAAATAACTTTATGTACAGCTTCTCTGGAATTTAGTCTTAGGAAATTTTATTAACTCACCACAAAAAGATCGCTTTCTTCATTTTAGTTGCCTAAAAGCAAGAACTATCATAATTTTTTTGGCATTTATGCATTAAAAAGGTATAATGGTATGAATTGCTGATACTTTAACAGGTTTATGAGTACATATTGAGAATTCTTTGCACTAAATTTGCAAGAAAAAATTAAAATAACAGATACAGCGTGGTACTCTGTTCCTTGAAGCAACTGGGTATGAATAGGGTTTTTCATAGTACCATAGATCAACTAGGGATCAGTGGAGGATTACTTGAAATCTTTGTTCTTTATTAGTGATGCTAGTACTGTGTAACAAGCTGAGACCTCGCGGTATGATTACAAGGAATTAATGAAAATCAGGTAAGTGTGAATGTAACTGTAGTAGCACTGTTTAACATGTCTGTATATACACGTACCCACAACTACCGTTTCTTAATTGAGCGTATTTACTTTCAAGAGGCAGGACTAGAAGTTTTTTTTAACCACCACCTTTGGAAGCTCCCCCCGAACCTCAGCCCCAAGCTCCTCTTTTCTGTGGTAGAAACGATTTTTTTAAAATTAAGGCTCCGGGCAGGGCGGGTATTTTGTTACCCTGTTCTAAAGAACGCCTCCGATGCTTCCTTGTTAAATAAAAAATTCCTACTTTACTGATACTCCCTGGCGTCCCGGTGGTTTGGCACCCAAGTCTGCGTTACCGGCACCCCGGTATCGGACGGACCTGCCTCCC